TCTTTTCAAAGAGTCTCCCTAGCGTCTCACTTTCAGTTACAAAAGGGTCTATGGCTCTCCTTTGTGTTTGGGTATTCAGGAGCACTTTCCCTGCAAAGATCTGGTTATGAATCTGACAAATGAGACACACAATCTTCAAGTGGGATATATTTGCATATGGTCAAGTTTGCTAGCAGTTGAGAATCTATAGTTTTGAGGCACCAAATGATTCTCTGTGCTGTATTCTAAACCATAAAATATGTGGTATTGTTCCACTTGTCCTATCACACCTACTAACAGACATCTTGATTTCTGAGACATGGGCTCATCTCTCAACATCCTTCCAATCTCACTCCACATGCTACCTGATCCAGCTCCACAATACTTTAAACACACAACACCACCTCTTGCCCTCCTAAGTAAAAAGTCATGGTAGATGAACCTTGGTCCTTTAGTTGAGAAATCAAAGTAATTTATTGCTACTATATCCATATACTATCCCTCCCATGCTGGACCTCATGCAAAGAGACTTTCTTGCTTTCATCCATGATTTTGCTGCTTTCATTTGGGTCAGTATCATTGCAGTCATTCTGAAGGCAAAGCAGTCAAAAAGAAATCTAGCTCATTTTTTCCCTACACAATATGTCTGAAGATCATTGCTTAAAAAGGTTGGTGTAAAGGCCTGCACCACGGTGATGATGCTCAGTTTTATATTTAGATTCAAGATGGGGAGATTTCAAGGGCATACCAATTTAGCCATAGATATATTTTTAGTCAATGTCATACAATTTGTCACAAAATTTTTTTTGGGTAATACAGAAAAAGCATACAATTTTTTTTAAAGGAAATAAAAGTGTTTCCAAAGCTCTTTTGGAATAAATGATGGTTTTCAGGTTCACATTTGAAAGGATTGTCAATACCATTTGCAAACATCAGCAAAATAGACTGAACAGACAGATTTCTGGTAGGAAGTTGAGCAAATCACTGAGTCCTCCAATCCCCAAAAGATAATATCTAAATTCCAGTCTCAAGGCATTGTATTCTCTGGTTCACCATAAGATTAGCAAACACAAGACATAAAAGTATGTTTATTTATTGACTAATGCAGAATATGCTAGGCCCTTTACCTGGAAGAGAGATTTAGTTTCTGGGATTTTCCAGAGGACATTCTACAAGAGGTGGCTGCTACTGACACCTGGGTAAGACAACTTTTAAATTGCTTCCCTTGGGATGGAACTTTCTATGGACTTTAGGCCCGTGGGATGAAAACCCATGAAGCATTTATGAATAGGTGATATAAGAATTTTAATAAAAGGTGCAATAACCCTGAAAATAGTGTCTTTAATAATCTATGTACTATTAGTAACAATGCATGCATAGTGCCGTGCATTCATAACTATTTGGTCATAAAAATATGTGACTGTAATTATGATATTTACAGTCAACTTATAAAAATACATGTAATTCTGAATGGCAATAGTTAATCCCTAGCTCTAACCACAAGCCTAGAAGGATTAGCTTATTATGAGAAAGTGCAATAGATAATTACAAAATGGACAAAGCTCTCACATTCTTGACTTCAACATTTAAGAATAACTATGACAGCATCATAAAAGCTTCACTTGTCATCATTATTCCTCTTACCTCACAAGGTAAAATCTAAATTCTGTGGAAATAAATGGAAACGGAATGGGAAAGAGACACTCACGTGATACAACCACAGAGGAGAATAGTTCTTTCACAGAATATTCATGCACGACCTTCAAAGAGGTTCATGTTCACTGCAAAAATTTATGGCATGACATCTAACCACAACTTCCATTAAAAAGAGTTAAGCATCATCTAAGTTAGCATATGGTTACCTTTAACCATAGAGGTTAAGAATCTAACCTTTAGCCAAATCTTTTCCTGGGACTTAGGTGAGTACCTCTTTGAAGCTTTGTTGGTATCATGGAGAGTGGAGCTCACATGGCACTTTCTAACTCAATTTAAATTTAAATTCTGATGGAGGGAAACATATCCACCTTCCACTTTAAATACAGAAAAGGAGTGGTTTTGCAAACTTTAAAATCCCTTACTTTAAGGGAAAAACACATTTCAATTAAATAAAATATTCCACAAATCTCATATATATCCCACAGATTTCTTCTCTTCTAGGAGTTGATTGGTCACCTGCTGATAATAGATAAATTCCTAATTTGACCACCATCAGTACTTCACAAAGGGACAAAACAGTGAGAGTAAACTTGAAAAACAAGGGAGAAGTGAACACAAGCTACTGGGAAAAGGCTGAGGTTGTTGGGGGTTACCTGCAAATCATGATCTCATATTTTTCAATGTATCTTGGCATTCAGTAAATGGAATTCCTGGAAATATGTTTCACAGTGAGGTTGAGAGGTCAGCTGATGATCAAATTCTTCTTGGGCTTAAATTGCCTTCTAGGACTAAGTTAAGGCATTTTGGCTGGTATATTAACTCTTCCAGAACAAGGAATTCCATTTCAGTAAATTATTGCTACAGTTCACTAAAGAGTACCATGGTGTCCTGGAAAAGATAATGTTCCTTCCAAAATGCCCTTGAGCCACTTGAACAATGAGAAATTCATATTTATTTATCTTAGACACTTTAGTCCTTGGTGATATAAGTAAAAAAATGACTTTTTCCTCATCCAAATGGAGACTATCTCAATGGAGATATGATATTAGAACTGCTATGGTAGCTTGGCAGTATATACCCTTATCCCCACATGCAATTGACAACTGGTGTGCTTGATTCTGTCTTTGTAAATCAATCTGCTGAGATCTTCTTTGCATGTGGAATGGTCTACGTTAACTTAGAAAAAAACCGACCCAAATAGGCAAACTTTTGAAAAAATAGGTGAATGAATGGAGTATGGCACACCATGGGAAGAAATGGAGTGATAGTTAATGGAATTTCTTAGCTGATTACCTCCCATCTTTTGAAAGGGAGGCAAAAAAAAATCTTCACAAATTATAGGTAATCTGTAAAAGAGAAATCTTCCTCTCCATGCCCCACACCAAAACCCAAATCAAAACCAAAACCAAAAATCTCAGAAACTTCGACTTCAGATATGAGATCATGGTCTGGAGGTCTGTTAACCTCAAATACCAGTTCATCCCGGCACAGCAGTTCATGAGGCAAAAGGCTAGAGTTATCTGTGACATGACTTTACAAATCATGTAAAAACAATAACCCTATGGCTGTGGGCAGTTATTGCCCATACTCAGATCTATAGATTTTGTGCCCAAATGGACACAATAGAGAAGACACGGATCATTTTGACTAGAAACTCAGTGATCTCAAGGCAGGACAAAACAAACTCCATTCAATAAACAAAATTTTACTTAAATGCTTTTCATCTTAGAGTCTGTTCCCCTTCCTTTCCATATTCTAGTAAAATCTTTATTTGTAAAAGTATACTTGTTTCTTTACTCCATTAATCTATCAACTTTATTTCCAAAGACTGTAACCAGAATGGAATGGTTTGTATCTACTCAGCTTAATTGAGTCCAGGAGTTTTTTTTTTTTTTTTTAAGATATGAATATTATTAACTTTATTAAAACATACAACTCAAGTTGATGGGAAACAATAGCTTTCTTCTAGGTAAAAGAGCTTATTAGCATGGCAGATCTTTGGACATTTGTTCTGTCCTACCTGGAAATAAATTATGTTACTGCTTGACATAGGAAAAGACATTTACTAGTAATTTTCTGTGGCAGGAAGCGCAACATTAATCCAAGTAAGCACCCACAACAGACTGATTCTATCTGCTAGGGAACAGTTTTAAACTTTAACTCAGCAGAAACATTAACCTCAGTACTTTTTTTGAGAAAGAGTTCAGCAGCAATTACAGTTAATATGTCACCTGTGGAGAGCTATGATCACCCTAGGAGGTGGACCAACTCAGGAGCACTTTCTAGGTAACAAGAACAATGATATTGCAAGAAGCTACAAAATGATATTGCAGTAGTTACAGTGACCACTACTGTAGTGGTCATGGCCTGGGTTAATGTTCCAAATATTAATGCAAGCAACACACTAGAGTTTATAGGATTAGAATATTTTCCTTATGATAAGAACCAGTTGATGGCGCATGATGAGTTGTGATGGTCCATTTTACTCTGTTTCACCCTCCGACAAATTTCCTAGTTAGGTTTTCTTTCTCCCACATTAATTACCTATATTCCATGGCAGTATATTTTCACCTTCTAAAATAAGAACACTACAACTATGGAATACCCCAACTCACACACACACACTTGTGCACCCTTACACAGATATGTATGGACAATATATGTCAAGTGCTCATTTGCAGTTGGGTGAGCTCTCTGAAAGCAGCCATATCAGCCTCCCAAATACAGAGAACTATCACAAGCCAATGAGAGCCATATGATCTATTTATTTCTAACATAAAATTTTAAATCTTATCCATGTGGTAATTAACTTAAATGCCTTTTTTTATGCTACGTCATCCAAAGCAAGAGTCTCAATGATTGACAACGTAATATGTACAATCTAACGGACTCACATCTCTGTTTATTTTGCTTATCCCACAGTTGAATAATACTCTTACTGCTGAGACACTTGAGTTGATTTTGAATGGCTATTAATGAGACTATATATTTGGCTAAGGTTGATTTGGCTTTCTAGAGAAAGGCTAGCCGATCTGCAAATGGACACCTCCCTCCACACAAACGTCAATGTACACTAAAGACAAGTCTAAGTATATGTATATATAACATATATACATATATATGTACACATAAAATGGATTGGGAAGTCCTTTGGTTTAGACAGGATTAAATACATACTTCCCATGTGCATAGGTTTCCTTTGACCAACCTGCTAAGAAAAACAAACATGAGAAGTGCCATGGCAATTTTGACATTTCCTATGTCTTTCCCCCTACTTGGAGGACACCTTTGCTCTCTTCTCCATCTCTCCTAAGCATTTTCTTTTTATAAGTAGTTGGTTCTTCTGGGCTTCTATTTTACCGTTTCATTGATTTGTCCATTCCTTGGAAGAACTCTAAGATTACATCCAGAAAATTATCTTTAGTAGAGAACAAGGTTGCAAAGAACTTTCCCCCCTTTTCTTATTCCCTCTTCCCCCCAAGAAGCAGACACCTTGATGTGTCATGAATAATGCACTCTTGATCTGACTTGCCTTGTTACTCCTGGCCAGCCCAAGCAGCTGAGGTCTGAGCTTTCCTCGCCCTGCATCATTGTGCAATACTGGAAAAGAAAAATAATCCATTAGTCTGCACCCCTCAGACTGTGGTGACGTGATCAGGGTTCTCTTGAATTTCTATGCATTCAATTTCTTCTCTCTCCTTTCGTTTGGCCCGTTTCTTTTTCTTGTGGTGCTTTTTGGAAGGGGGGAAAAAGGTTAGGAACACAGGTAAAATAACAAAACAGTGCAGAAGTGTGCAACCCCCAGTGAGCAGCAAGCATTTGAACAGTGTGAAGGTCAGGTTCGAAGGCACAAATAGAAGGGGGACCAACCCAATAAGAAAAGAAGTAACATTTTGCAAAATGGCTGTCCCATGCTCTTGCAGGGAGCTTTTTATACATTGTGTTCGGGTGTGCTCAGTTGCTAATACAAATGTGTAAAGCAGTGGTGCACAGTGGTCAATGGCGAAATTCAAGGTGTAGATAAGGCACAAGATAGAAATGCAATCCATGTCGACGTTCCATAATGTCATTAAGCCCAGAACGCCCAGCTCAATTGAGGTGACGCTAAGAATTAGCCAAAAGTTTCCCAGGGGGTGGATCACTAGGAAAAAAGTCAGGATTAACACCAGGAGAACACCAAAGCCTGCAATCAGAACAGGCACTGTGACAGACAAGCTGTAATGGTCCATGAAAACAAAGGAGGGGTTGAACACGATGAATCGGATGCTCTTTGAGAGGGATAGGGGCCTCAACTTTTCTAACACTTCTATGACTTCCTTCTGCTTGTCTCTGCTAGTCCTGGCCACCAGATACAAGCGAGAAGCAATGATGTTGTTTTCATCTCCTGCCTTGGAGAAGATGATATCGTTTCGAAAGTGCTGGAATTCTGGTTTTTTTAAAAATGAGCTCTGTAGGACACTGATGAAGTCACTCTTGTTATTGGCACTGACGTTGCTGACTTTCAGGAACTGATAGTACTGCTCCACCCAGGACACTGCAGTGAATCCACTACAGAGCCTTCGTAGGTCCTCCTGGACGCTGCTGTTCCAGTACTCCAGGGGCTCGTAGATGTAGAATCCTATCACGGGGCTGTAGTTGCTGAAATATTTTTGCTGAACCACGGCGAAGGAAACGCTTGGGGAATCACTGGCTAGTAGGTTGATGATGTTGGCTCTGTCACTGATCTGTAAGCACCCCATGAAGGAGAAGGAGGCATAAATGAGATACAGGATGACAACAAATGGCTTCACGTAGATATTGGTAATCCACTCATTGTAATGTTCTCGGAGGAAGTGCTGAATGAAGTGATGCTGGTAGGGGTTCGTCTCGTGATGGGATGTCTGTTGATGCCCATCGCTCATCACTGCCTGGAACCACACAGGCTTGCGATCCAGGTACTCTGCAGAAGGGATCTTGCAGCAAAAGATGCTGTGGTAGCGGTTTTGCTCTAGTTGGCCAGCAAAGACGAGACAGGACCCAAAGAAGGAGAAAATGTAGAAGTAGTTCAACAGAATGGAGACACACATGTTCTGACAGAAGACCTTCACAGCCTCTATGTTTGTGAATGGGCTGGCACCCATACCAAAGGTGATAAAGTACAGGGAGCTGGTCATGGTGTAGGTGACCATCACATCAGAATAGGCATCTGCTATCCTGTCTTTGAAGGACAAATTCTCTTTGGTTCTCCGCCATCCAGACAGAAGTTCAAATACTCCTTTAGTTCCATGACCTAATGTTAAAAAAAAAAGAAGAAGAATTGTTTTTATTTCCTCCTATGGTTCAAGTGAGCTCCTTATAGATTATTTATGCTAAACAATATTTCATACTCTAATCTCCAAAGTACCATGATCCTCCTATCAGGGTCTCAAAATCTGAGTTACACACAGGATATATTTGGTCCCTGTTTCACTTTAGCAAAGCCCAAATTTATTGGTACCCTGGGCAAAATAAAGCATTTATTTTCTGTTCTATTAATCTGACAAGTTGCAAATATGATGTTACTTTATTACATGATTTTTTTCCCTGAACCCATATTGTCTTCCCAAATGGATCATTAGTTATCAATGGCAGGAGCTGTTATTTGTGGGTCTTTAAATGCCCCTCAACACCAATTCAAGTGCTTGGTCCACTGATTCATTGACTGATCGTCTTTAACCTCCAACACAAACTGATTTATATGCTGATTTAGGAAATTACAAGTTGATGTTAAACACTTAAAAATGGGCTTAAATTGATTTTATAATGTTGATAATTTGCTTGGTGGCCAAATGGCTTAGAAACCAATTTCCATAGACTTGATTAATTATAACTTTGGATGGGAGTCAGAAAAATCTGCCAGGTCACATAAAAGACAGGACAAGACCTTGCAGGGTGAAAGATTCTAGCAAGCATTTCCTTGGGGCTCTTCACAGAGCTTTCACTCACAGGGAGTGGATGCTGAGTAAATGCTTTTGACTGCTTCATTAAAGCATATGAAGAATACATCTTTTTAACCAATTTCTGTGTACCTTTTGATAAAAATAAATAGGCAAAGCTTTATTCAACACACATTACTTGAATACCCACATGTGCTAGACTCTGTTAGCTACTGAGCTGTTACTTTCAGGAATTTGTTAGCTCTTAAGATACTACCATTTTCTTGTTAGCAAAAGAAGAAAGCAGCTGGGAAAGCAAAGGTATTATATCTTCAATTTCCTTTTTTTTTCACTTTTCCTGAATTGAACCTCTCTATTACCATCCACAACATATCAATCAGTCACTTTCTGAGTGAGTAGAAATCTTCATAGATCACTCTTGGCTTTGTGGGCATGGCGACACTACACAGGAACCTGTCCTGTGGATGGATGCAAGCTGGGCTTGGGCTGCTCTCCAAGAAATCCATTAGACAACGACGTAGCTTAAAGGCACAAAATGACCCAGTTCACGAAAACCTGGAAAATGGACTTTTGTATGGCACTCAGATATCGGAGTTTAGTTGTAAACAGACCCAATTTACTTAGTAATGCTTTAACAAAGATATTATAATAGCTGGAGTCTTAGTACAATCACTCTGAATTTGTGCTGCTGATAGATTTTGCCAATTGACCTACATAATTCTTCTCCATCTCCCTTACTTTTATGTGAGTCTGCAATGTGCATAATTAAAAACTTTATTTCCCAGCTTACTTTTTATCTGGAAGGTGGTTCATGTGACATAGCTCTGGACAATGCAATGTAACTGAAAGTTATCTCAGGATATTTAGTAGAAAACCAGAAGGCAGTTTGTCCTAAATGGTGTCGTGGAGCCACCAGAAAGAGCCCTTGTCAGCTTTCCTTTGGAATTCTTCTTTAAGGACAACAAATCTCCATTTGGCCAAGCCACTGTAAGTAAAGCTGTTTTATGCAGCTGAGTTTATTCCTAACCAACGTTTCGTAGGTGAGTTAACAGTTACCAAAACTTCTTTATGGGGAATCTAAGGATTATTGCTTCATAATTAATTTGACTGTAGTATTTACAGATTTAAATGTGTATGATGCCAATTTTTATTTTTATTTATTTCAGGATATTACTGGGGTACAAACATTCTGGTTACATGTTATGACTTTGTCACACCCAAATCATGATTTGAGGGGTGCCTTTTCCCCCTATAACACTCACTGCGTCCATTAGTTGTGAGTTTACCTACCCCCAACCCCCCAATCCCTGAAGATGCCAATTTTTGATTTTAAAGATACATTAGCCAATCTTTTGGAAGTTGTTATTAATTATTAATTGTTACTAAAGGGAACTAGGTATTGGAGTTCTTTTCACCTCAACTATAAAGCCTATTTATTCTCCAAAGGTCTCTGTTCTTGGTCTCTAGTCAGGAAAAATAATTTTATTCTAACAAGTAGAAATGGTTATGCAACTGCATATAGGTAGAAGGCAAGGTTTTTCTTTGAGGCAATGATTTATTTCTTCTTGCATTTTATCATGAGTTCAACATAGATGTGTTAAATTAAGTCAATGATTCTTAACAAACAACATTGATTGTTCATTCCTGCCTTCTGAAAGACTCCTTGTCCAGACAGAATACAGTACTTCCTCTCTTATTCCCTTGACAGAAATATAATATTAGGATAATGCTTAGGGCAATTAAAATTATTTAATTAGAGCACCTCTGTTCAGAAATGAGGACTCTTACTATCTTTGTAGTCACAAAGGGGGAAAGGCTACATGGGGCTATAGCTAAATTTGGCTTGCCTTTGCTAATGGCCATTTTTGTAGAACATTAGGTACATTATGTAGGCTAGATTTTTGCTTTATGTGGTACAAGGTCTGTTGGTGTAGGAAGATAATATTAAACCATATTAGATTAAGTAATTTAGTAATCATTTTAAATGTGATAGAGACTGAAAACACAATTTCCAAACTTTGTTTAGTGATGGAATGTTTTATCCCATTCATAGGTTTAGCTATTTTACAGAGTTTTCCTATGAACCTTCACTCATTTGACTTTCATCATAAACTGGCCACTTCCGAGTAGTTCAGATTTATCACCTGCCTCAGCCAGAATTGTTCCCTGCCCCATGAACGTGCCCACAGTGTCTTACCTTCTTAGCTTTGTTGTTGTTGTTTTCTCTGTCTTACGATAACTTCCCCTCATTGCCGGGCATATTCACTGGTCAGTATAATTCTTTCTCATCTTTGTCGTGAAACCAACTCTGTTGATTCCAGACATATAGATATTTTTTGTTCCTTAAACTCTCATTGCACTAATTAGTTACTCAATTTGCCCCTCAACAACGTGCTGTTTTGCTCTGGAACTAAATGGTTTTCTGAGGATGTGTTATCTCTCTTTGTTAGATTACAAATTCTTCAAGGCTAGGGAATGCATTTTATGCTACTTTTAACATTCTGCAGAAATCTGGCAAAGTGATAGATGCCCCAAAGATGCCCATTAACCTCCTATCGAATTAAATCAACTCTAATTCTTGATTCTAGAGGGTCCAAAAATGTATCTTTTAATTACTTATTCTTAAATTTATTACGCGTTTTTATACCTTTATAAACTGTGTCCAGAAGAAGTATACACAGTTCAATTCGAACTCAGTTCAATTCGATCCAATATATATTTACTTAGAATTTGTTACATGTAAAAACTTTTGTATGCCAATAAATAAGCGTAAAAGTAAACAAGAAACACAATCTTTTTCAACATTTGTCAGTCCAGAAAGTCATTTTCATTTAAGTAGTTCCAAGGCAGAGATAATAGTTTCTAATGGAACTGCCTTAAAAATAGGGATATATGAAAAAAAATACTGTTACTTGTAAAAAAGCCATCAATACTTCTCAAAAAATAAAGAAGCAGGGACATAAGTTAAGAAGAGAACATGCAAAATTGATTTTTCTTTTTGAGGGTATTACTTCTAATGTCATTTAATTAGAAAATATACTATATAGTATTATGAAAACAGTTTAATTACTTCGAACCCTTGGTAATGCATACAAAATATCTCTATTAAAATGCTAGAAATTCATTTCTTAATTTTATTTTAAAAATAAATTAATCTGAAATAACCGTGTATAATATCAATGGACTTAATTGTAGGGAGAGAGAAGAGCTTTATAAAACTTTTGTTTATTTAATCCAGGGCTTCTCAACCTTGGCCCCTTTGACCTTTTGGGCTGGATAATTGTTGTTGGGGATTGTCGTGTACACTGTAGGATATTCAGCATCATTCCTGGCCTCTACCCACTAGATGCCAGTAGCACACCCCATAACTGTGATAACCAAATATTTCTCCAGATATTGCCAAATGCTGTCTGGGGTCAAGATTGCTCTGACTGAGAATTATTGGTTTAGTCAAAAGAGAAAAAAATAGTATACACATACACATACACACATGCTCATTTAATAACCTTTTTTATGATTATAAAATTAGGACACATGTCTATTAAAAATTTGGGAAAGATAGAAAAGATAGTCTTTGAAAAAATTATTTTGTAATCCCACAACATAGAAAACTGTTGCTAACAACTTCAACTATTTAACACAGTCATTTATTTCTTTATTTTCTAAAGTTGTGTGTATGTATCTATCTTTCCATCCATCCAGATGGATAACTACTTAAATAGCTAATTCAAAGAACTGGGCTCCTACCAAACAAGAATTAGGATTTGGGATCATGCTTGCTGCTCTGTCCAGTAGGCCAGACAACTATGGAGAGCCTATTTTCTAACCTCTGCAATGTTTTCCTTCTTGGTTTCTTGCTTTTTCACTTTGGTTTCCATACTGAGGTTGGAACTATTTCTTGAGCATCTCCTCACCTGAAAGAAGCCCCAACTTTCTCTTTAGCTTTTTCTAATAGCATCTTATTCCCTAATGCTCCACCCTTACTTTGAGAGTCCTATTCTAATTCAAATAATGCACCTAAAACCAAGACACTGGTGTTCACCCAAAGGACACTGGTGGCCCACCAACTCAGATGATGATGTATTGCCCCCTTGAATGATGACTCGAAATACATTATATTTCTTCCTGGTGCCCTAGTCCTGATCTGTTCTTTGTGTCTGTCCCATTTTCCCACCAAAATCCTTAATCCTCACAGCTTGCTTTTGGAACAGCTCTATTCAAGTTCCTAACAGGCTACATATGTAAGCAGTTAACTAACATATAAAGAGGAATTGTGTTTTTGCTAAGCAGGGATGTATGCAGTGTTCTGTGAAAATGCAGCTGATTCTTTCTGAGGGAGCAGGAAACCCTTCAA